CCTTCTTTTGGTCACTACCCAAAGCTCGTGACCATAGATGAGGGTAGGAACAAAGACCGACTGGTAAATCGAGAGCTTCACCTTTTGGCTCAGCTTTTGCTTCACAACAGACGGTACAACACCCGCATCACTGCAGACGCAGCACCAATCCACCTGTCAATCTCCCGCTCCATTTTTCCCTCATTCATGAACAAGACCCTGAGATACTTAAACTCCTCCACCTGGGGCAGAACCTCCTCCCCAACTCAGAGAAAACACCCTACCCTTTTCAGGCTCAAGACCATGGTCTCAGATTTGGAGGCACTGATCCTCATCCTGGCTGCTTCACACTCAGCTGTGAACCGCTCCAATGAGAGCTGGAGATCAGGATCTGATGAAGCCAATAGGACCACATCATCCACAAAAAGCAGAGATGTGATCCTAAGGTCACCTAAACGGATCCCCTCAGCACCTTGGCTGCTTCAAGAAATTCTGTCCATAAAAGTTAGGAACAGTATCGGTGACAAAGGGCAGCCTTGGTGGAGTCCAACTCTCACCGGAAATGAGACCGACTTACTACCGGCAATGTGGACCGAGCTATGGCACCGGTCCTACAGGGACCTAACAGCCCGTATCAATGGGTCTGGTACCCCATACTCCCAGAGTACCCCCCGCAGGAGTCCCCGAGGGACACGGTCTAACGCCTTCTCCAAGTCCACAAAACACATGTAGACTGGTTGAACTCCCCTGAACCCTCCAGGACCCTGCTGAGGGTGTAGAACTGGTTCAGTGTTCCACAACCAGGAGAAAAACCTCACTGCTCTTCCTGAATCAGTGGTCCAACTATCCAACAGACCCTCCTCTCCAGAACCCCTGAATAGACCTTACCAGAGAGGCTCAGAAGTGTGATCCCCCTATAGTTGGAACACACTCTGCGGTCCCCCTTTTTAAATAGGGGGACCATCACCCCAGTCTGCCAATCCAGAGGAACTGCCCCCGATGTCCACGCAATATTGTAGAGTTGTGTCAACCAAAACAACCCCACAACATCCAGAGCCTTAAGGAACTCCGGGTGAATCTCATCCACCCCCTGGTGCCCTGCCACCGAGGAGCTTTTTAACCACCTCAGTGACCTCGGCACCAGAGATTGGAGAATCCGACCTAGGGTCCCCAGGCTCTGCTTCCTCATGGGAAGACGTGTCGGTAGGATTGAGGAGGTCTTTGAAGTATTCCACCTACCGACCCACAATGTCCAGAGTTGAGGTCAGCAGTGCACCATCCGYACCATAAATAGTGTTGGTGGTTAACAGCTTTCCCCCCTGAGATGCCGGATGGTGGACCAGAATCACTGCAAAGCTGTACGGCCTCTCCGAACTCCTCCCATGCCTGAGCTTTTGCCTCAGCGACCACCCGAGCCGCTAGCCGCTTGGACTGCCGAAACCTATCTGCTGCTTCCAGAGTCCCACAGGCCAAAAAGACCTGATAGGAATCCTTTAGCCTGACAGCATCCCTCACCGCCGATGTCCACCAGCGGGTTCGAGGGTTGCTGCTACGACAGGCACCGACAACCTTACGGCCACAGCTCAGGTAAGCCGCCTCGACAATGGAGGTACGGAACATGGCCCACTGAGACTCAATGTCCCCACCTCCCCCTGAATGTGTTCGAAGTTGAGGTGTGAGTTGAAGCTCCGTCTGACGGGAGACTCTGACAGACGTTCCCAGCAGACCCTCACTGTATGTTTGGTTCTTCCAGGTCTGACYRSCATCCTCCCCCATCATCAGAGCCAACTCACGACCAGGTAGTGTTCTGTTGACAGTTCAGCCCCTCTCTTCACCTGAGTGTCCAAAACATGCGGCCGCAGATCAGATGAAACGACAACAAAGTCGACCATCGAACTGCGACTTGGGGTGTCCTGGTGCCAAGAGCACATATGGACACCCTTATGTTTGAACATGGTGTTCRTTATGGACAATCCATGACGAGCACAGAAGTCCAATAACAAAACACCGCTCAGGTTCAGATCGGGGGTGCCGTTCCTCCCAACAACGCCTCTCCAGGTCTCACTGTCATTACCCACGTGAACGTTGAAGTCCCCCAGCAGAACGAGGGAGTCCCCATCAGGAGCGCTTTTCAGCACCCCCTCCAAGGACTCCAAAAAGGGTGGGTAATCTGAACTGCTGTTAGGCTCATAGGCACAAACAACAGTCAGGACCCGTCCCCCCGCCCGTAGGCAGAGGGAGGCTACCCTCTCGTTCACCGGGGTGAACCCCAATATACAGGCACCAAGGTAGGGGGCAATAAGTATGCCCACTCCTGCTCGGCGCCTCTCAGCATGGGCAACTCCAGAGTGGAAGAGTGTCCAACCCCTCTGGAGGAGACTAGGTCCAGAGCCAGAGCAGTGTGTCGAGGTTAGTCCAACTATATCTGGTTGGACCCTCTCAACCTCACACACCAGCTCAGGCTCCTTCCCCACCAGAGAGGTGACATTCCACGTCCCTAGAGCCAGCTTCTGTAGCCGAGGATCGGACCGCCAAGGTCCCCGCCTTCGACCACTGCCCACCGTACATTGCACCTGACCCCTACGGCCCCTCCCGCAGGTGGTGAGCCCATGAGAAGGGGGACCCGTGTCTCCTCTTCAGGCTGTGCCCGACCAGGCTCCATGGGTGAAAGCCCAGCCATCAGGCGCTCGTCAACTTGCCCCACCTTGGTTCCAGAGTGACCTGCGTCTGGGCGAGGGAACACTCAGTCCACTCATGGTACTCATCATAGGTGTCTTTGRGCTGAACTTTGTCTGATCCCTCACCTAGGACCTGTTTGCCTTGAGTGACCCTACTGGGGGCATGAAGCCCCTGACAACATACCTCGTAGGATCATTGGGACACTCAAACCTCTCCACCACGATAAGGTGGTAGCCCAGTGAGAGGAAAGCTGGAAGTGGACACTCCTTTTATTTCTGTTCCGCTATAAATGAAAACATAGTTAAATAAAATAAGCTTTGGGTTTTATTGAAAAACGTGAACTCAGCTGTTAGTTAGATAAAGTAATTAATATGTAATTATTAAATTTGAATGTGTTATTTCACACTGTCAGATGTTTGAGTCAGGTCTATCATTTTATGCTTTTCACAGCTTCAGCTTCAGTTTGGAAAAGTCAAGTTGGAAAGCTGTTTAACTTGAAATGTTTTCCATTTTGCTGCTTTTCTTCCTATGTATTGTTTATTTCATACTTACAGAAGAGCAACTAAGTTATGACTTTAATCTCAGAATAAGACTGGTAGGCTCATTCTGACTGAGATTACAGTTAGAATGGCTGTGTGACATTTTAGTATAACTATTTCTTTGAGTTATTTTCACTTTAATCTCAGATTTCTTAGAAAAAAGTCAGAACTCAGAAAAATATATAGTTTTTTTCTCTGAGGCACTAATCCTCTTTCATAATTGCCATTTTATGTATTTTGATTAAAACAACAAAAGCTTGCGTAGTGAAACTCAAATTGTTGTTTACCACCAAATTATGACAGTTTTACTATCAGAGCATCACAGGTATACGTTTGTTTCTTGAAACCCTGAAGCCTTTATCCCATTCTGTAAGCAAGATCAGATTAAAGTGAATGGAGGAATAAAATAATCACAGAATGATCCAGTGTCACCTGTTTCATGAGAATTTGTTTGCACATAAATGACTTGGTTCAAAAAAAAAAAAGCCCTCCCTCTGTCCCCTGTTTTTCTTCTGTCCAGAATGATGACRAAGACTTTAATTACGTGATTGCCTTCTTCCTGGGCACAGCAGCCTGTCTGTATCAGGTAAGTGATAGTGTGCGGTGAGGCCAGCCTATCACCGGCTGACTAACAGCCCTGCACTTTACAGCTCAGCAGCTTGTCAGTTAGACAAACATTCACTGAAGCTCRGTGCCTTTCAGGCCACAACTTCTTCTACAAAACCTCTCCATCAGTTCATTTTGTGCTGCTCCTGGTGCCAAACGGAGCACCACAAAGTAGACAGATAAGAAAATAAAGTTTTATAATAGAGTTTCTCTTGTTTAAGGGATCCCTGATTAGTTGTAACATTAGACTTTATTTGATAAACATATAAATTTACTGTAAAATAAAAACTGTAAAAATACTGTAGGCTGTTTAGTTTTTATAATTTTTAAACTATAAACGGTTAAAAATATATTTTAACACGGACAGAGCCATTTTATTTGCACACAAAGCATTCTGGGTAAATGATGACGTGGATAGG